TATTATAAACTTTTATTGTGAAGGGCTGAAACGAGACTTTATTATAAGCTTTTATTGTGAAGGGCTGACTTGATGTTTTCTAATCTGCTTCTTGTTTGTTTCTTCACAGATTTTACGCAGCCTGTGTGGTGTTGGGATTACAGTTTTTACATGACCACAAGATTGTGTACAGGTAAACATCTCAGACTTTCTGAGTCAAAGTTCCAGAGCTGAATGTGTGAGAACTGAAGCAGAAACTGTAAATCCTCAGAGATCTGAAGCTGGACAACCTGCTGCTGGACACTGAGGGTTATGTGAAGATTGCTGACTTTGGTCTTTGTAAAGAAGGTGAGACAAACACAACAAAGTGTGTCTGCTGGAGACAGCATGATGTCATCTCTGTGGGTGTTTGTTTCCTGGCTGTGAATTGACAGTAACCTGTGTGTGTTGTTCTCAGGGATGGGCTACAGGGACCGGACCAGTACGTTCTGTGGAACACCAGAGTTTCTGGCTCCGGAGGTTCTAACAGAAACCTCGTACACACGAGCTGTGGACTGGTGGGGTCTGGGGGTCCTGATCTTTGAGATGCTGGTGGGAGAGGTGAGCGAGGAATAGTTGCTACGTCCACTCATTCATTCATTTACAGTATTTATTTATTTATTTGTTTATTTATTTATCTTTCCCCTTCAGTCTCCGTTCCCTGGTGATGATGAGGAGGAGGTGTTTGACAGCATTGTGAACGATGAAGTTCGTTACCCACGGTTCCTTTCAACTGAGGCCATCTCCATCATGAGAAGGGTGTGTACCCAGAGACCCTCAGAGACCCACAACTTTTACATTTTATTTTAGTTAAAGATCAAATCCATGCAGGATCCTCAGAAACAGTAAAGCAGAGGTGTATAAAGTACTTAAAGGTAAAAATATTTCAACACAAAATGACTGGTAAATTTCACTGATGAGAAAAGTACTGAAGTAAACGTGGAACCAGTTGACATAATACATAGTAAAGTAAATCCAGCACTTAGAGTACATAAACAAGCCTCTTTGTGARGAGTTCATATTTTAATTTGTAACAAACTTTTAAAGTAACATTTTTAGGTTTTGAATGTAATGAAATAAAATGTAATAAATTTAACCCCAAAGATCATCTGTAAAGCAAAGAGGTTGTATTATACATGAGAGTAAATTAGTTGAGTGTACAACTACAATAATGAGTATTACACAGAAACATGTAGCCTCAGTTGCCTTCAGGCCTAGGCCTCCCTTTATGAAGCTGATCTGTGATGTCAGCGGGATCAGCCTGGGTAAATCACAGTAAATAATCCCAGGCTCTCATATAGAGCTGTGGGGATAAACACAGCAGCAGTGGTTGTTGACTCACTGCAGTCAGAGGAGGAAAAACTTACTTTCTTTTTCTTGTTAACTGTGAAGAAGAAAAGACACGGTGTTAGCTGTGTGTTCAAGTTCTAAAAACATCAACTCTGCTCTGGGAGCAGATTGTTGTTTCAGTGACACACAGAACAGGAAGCTCATCCTCGAGTGTGTCCCCAAATAATGTTTCCCCACCAGAGGGCGCACCAAGGCTGACAATAATATTTCCCCACCAGAGGGCGCACCAAGGCTGACAAATCCTCAAATCTGTCGGAAACAAGTGGTGGCTTCGTACATGAGGATTCTATTTTTATACTTTTTAAATAAAGAATTAGGGTTGTATACGTGAATAAATATGGTATTTAAGTACTGTAACAAAGTAAATGTGAGTACTGTATTTATGCAAATATAATACAAAAAATTAACTACAAAACTGGCTGAATGGGAGGGTGGGCTGTGTGAAGCTTCTTATTTGCATTTAAAGAGACAGCGCCAAAACGAGTTCTAAGGCTGCAACAAACGATTAATATATTAACTGATTAATCACTAGATTATTTTTTCGATTATTTGATGAATTGGGGGAAACAAAAATTAATTTGATCTTTTTTTCCAAAGTAGTTAGAGGAGTTTGTTTCTACGACAGCGTATTAGGGCTACATTGCAGATGGAAAAAAAAGAGGAGCAAATCTCTGAGAAAAAAAACCTCAGAATTTCTGAGATTAATTTCAGAAATTTTCGAGACAAAACAGGCAATTCTCTTATGTTGAAAAGTTGCAAATTTGTGAGAAAAAAACTCAGAAATTTCCGTAATGAAAGGCAAAAATTTGCGACATTTAAACTATACATTTTCTGACTTGGTAAAGTCAGAAATTTACAA